AGCCATCAGGTCCATTTATCTTTTCCTCAATGAAATTCTCTATAATAAAGAAATATCTATACGCTAGTCTTATATTTTAAATATCACTGTAGCTTATTTGAAACCATAGAGTAGATACCAATATGTAAAATGATAGACCTCTTATTCAGGTCAAATTTTGGAAGATGTTTTTCTTTTGGTAATTTCCATGAATTGATGTCATGCATCAGTGTTTCTTTGGGTTTGGCTGAAAATGGAGAAAATATTTTGGGCTTGTAAAAATTAATACTTGGTGAGCTTATATTTATTTCTAATCCACTGTTTCCCAAATTTGCCTGACCATAATGATCACCTGGGGAACTTGTTAAAAATTATATAACCCTATCCCTCCTATCACCTGACCTACTAAATTAGACTTTCCAGGGAAAGGTGCCGAAATCTGTATTTTAAGCAAGGTTACACCTGATGATTAGTATTTGGAAAACAGAGTTCTGATTCTTTGTAACATTGTGTCATATTCCTCATAATGCCAGAGCTTTTCAAACATATCTCTGATTCCCTTGTCCTCAGTGATTGCTGCCTAATTTCTGCTCCATCACACCTAAGAAATATGGTACACTTACAGCAACCACTGGAACTTTCTGCAGACCCAAGTTTCTGCTCTTGTGATGATAGAAAGCAGCTAGTCACGGTTAGAAGGGAGAGAGGTGGAGGTAGCTTTGGAGAAGTCTTTCAAGAGATTCTGATCCTGCCTTTGATAACTAGTTTGTAGATGACTTTGCTGCTTTCCATGGACATGCTCAACCTCTTTTCTGTATCCAAAATTTTGTCTCTACTTTTACTCTCTTATTATCTTTCCTTCCTGAAATTGAGGGGTAAACACTGCCTTTTTTTTTTTTGTCAACACTGTGCTTTTGATCAAATTTCCTACTGCCTCATGGAAGCCAAATCTATTGAACTTCTGTCCTATTCAAATCTTCATTTTTGAGAGAAGTCTTTCAAGAGAAATTGTGTATGTGTATATCAGTAGGCATTTCCTCCCTATGACAAACTAAACCAACATAAGATTTCTTTGACTCTGCTTAACCCCAGGATCCCATTTCACTTCATGTCTTATTTTTACTGTCACACTTCCCCAAAAAGAGTATTGCACATTGGTGCATCTACTTTCTCACTCTTATCGTTGACCCTATTGTCTCTACTGCCCCTGGGGCCACATTTTATGGATACTATTGATTTAAAGTCTATGAGTGATGAAACTCAATAACTCATGCTTTAGCTCTCAACCTTCTTGCTCATTCAACAGCATGTAATGTTGCTGACCACGTTTTCCTTTTAAAAACTTCATCAATTAGTGATCATTTGATATAAGAGCAGAAATCTACTCAAATGATTGAAACAAGGAGGATTTTAATAAGGCCACAGGAAACTCACAGAAACTATAAAAGGGTAGTAGAAAGATTGGGACATGGAACTAGGAAGCCATCAGCAAGTAATAAAATTATAAAAAATAATTATCAAGCACCTGCTATATTCTGGGCACTAGGAAGGTTATAAGTGATCAAATAGTGAGCAGAAGAGACAAGGTCACTGTCCTTGGAGATTTTACAATCTAGTAGGGAAGGCTTATCATAAGCAACTAATCAAATGCATATTTAGTCCTTGTAATGAGCACTATGGATGAAACAAACTGACTTAATGTGTTATTATAGGTTATTGGTGATGGGTGGAGAAGGCACTTTAAGAAAAGGCACATTAAGAAAAGACATGACATTTAGATTGAGACCTGAAAAATATGAGGGAACCACTCAGAACTTGCAGAGTAGGGAAGTATAAGGTGTGCTTTAGGTTGAGGATACACCTGTGTGAGAGCCCTGGTGTGGTGTTTCAGGGGAAGTGAAAGGAGGCCATTGTGGCTGGAACTTAACGGGGGATGGGGAGAGCAGATCAAGCTGAGATGGAAAGGGAGGTAGAAGTCAGAACAGGCCAGGCCTTTTGAGCTATTTTAAGGAATTTGGATTTCATTGCAAACTAATTGGAAGACATTGAACAGTTTTAAGCAGGAAACAACATCGTCTGATATATTGTTAAGTTTACTCTGACTGATAAGTAGAAACTAGATTAAAGAAGCTGGAAGTCTACTTGGCAGCTACAGCAATCATGTAGGTAAAAGATGACAACAGTTTAGATGAATGTAATAGCAGAAGAGATGGAGAGGAGTGGACAGATCAAACATCTATTTATAAGGAACAAAGGAGAAGACCAGCTGAGTCGTTGGAGGGAAGGAAGGAGAGTGAAAAATCAACACTATCTCCCAGCTTTGTGTGTATGTGTGTGTGTGTGTATGTGTGTGTGTGTGTGTTTTATAAAAATAGCTGGGTAGACAGTGATACCATTTACAGAAATGGGAGGAATAAAAAAAAAAACAGGGACAGATTTTTTGCAAGATGAGAGAAAGCAGGAATTCAGAAATTAAAAGTTTAATCCCATTTTGGACGCACTCTTCAGAGGTATTCATGGGGATTGGACATGCCAAGGAGGCCACTGGATATATGAATATAGAACTTGGAGAAAATGTCTGGGCTATAGAATGAACTTAAGAGTTACCAACTTTTTAAAGCCACAGGAATGGTTGATATTACCAAGTAGGTGGGTTTATAGAGAAGCAAGCAGAGGATAGAACCCCATTTCTAGAGGGGTCCAGAGGAGGAAGAATCATTGAAGGACACTGAGCACCAATGATTAGAGAAGAAGGACCAGTGGAGTTCAGTGTCCTAGACTCCAACAGAAGAGATATATTCCAAGAAGCTGAACCTGACCAACTATGTGGAAAACTGCTACAAGTTGGGCTAGGATGAGGTCCTAGGAATATATGCTGGGCCCGGCAATAAGAAACTGTCGACAGTGATTAGTTTTCAGTGGCATGGTGTGGTGTGGAAGCCAGATTCGGAGTAGGTTAAATAGGAAATCAGAAGGAAAGTGTGGATATTTCTCTCTGGAATTACTTTGGTAAGGGGATCAAAAAATTTGGAACTGCAGACGGAAAGTAATGGCATAAGAATCTGTTTTGCTTTTTAAACTTTTCATATGGCTATATATTCATACATTATTGGGAATTTGATGATGAAGAAGAGGTAAGGAATAATTGAAGGGATGACGTTCCTGAGAAGGCAAAAGAGGGGAAGGAATTTAAAGTATAAGTAGAGGAGAACTCCTCTCTTAGCTTTTCCTAGGAGAGGAGAACATGTATGTTTTGTACAGAAAGGAAGGAGAGGTAGGTCCTAATGCAGAAAAACTTACTGATATGATGAGTGGGAATGCACTGGAGTTGTATCAGCAGGGGTGAGACAGGATGGTGGTGGTTTAGGAGGGTTGAGGAAAATGGACAAGGTATGAATAGTCTTGATGGTACTCTCAGGCTGTCTTCCTCTTTCTGGTCATCTGGTCTCATTTCTCCTTTGTGTAAATCACTTTGTCATTTTCTCTCAGAAGGCAGATTTCCTCTGCTTCACTGTGCCCATGACAGAAAGTGGTCACCCCATATATAAATTTTTGTGTTCATCCAGTTCATGCCCTTAATAGAATAACCTTTCATTTCTTAAGCCCAGATACCCAAGGGAGACAAATTGATTGGTCCAGACTTAGTTATAATGGAACTCAGGTCAAATCATCTGTGGTTAGAGGAACAAGGCCATTTTGTACAAATATGGCTGTCAGGTGTAAGTTTTCTGTGTGTTGGAGGATTAGTTCTTGGGGAAGAAGGATATTAGCTTGCAAGACAACCAAAGTGTCTCCCAAACTTACTTCCTGAGATATTTAATTCTCTATTTTGTTAGGAGTAGTCTTCAGCTTTCTTTTCTAGTTTTATTGTTTATAGCTGAACTCATTATATTTTCCCCAAATCTACTCACTCTCTCTTGGCTGCCCTGTTCCTGTTAAAAGCCATGACTGTCTTCTCAGGCATCCAAGCTTGATGTTTTCCTGATCCATAAGACAAGCATCTGAGGAGCACCCTTTGTATCACTGCACCCATTTCCTCTACCTCTTCCCTAATTCACGTTACTTGAACTCACATAAACTATTCTCAAAGTCTCTTAAATTATCTTCCATACTTTAGTCTCCAATGAATATTGTAAACTATTCTCAGAAGCATCTTCTGAGAATAACTAAAGCACAGCTCCACTCATGTTTTCCCATCCATTCAAGAATCTACAATAGCTCCCCACTGAATAATCAGTAAAGTATAAGTCTTGCCTAACATCCACAGCCTTCCCTGAACTGTTATTGACATTACCCTCCATTAAACATCAGCCAAGGCAGACTCTGCAATCATTCTCTAGCAGGCCCTGAGCATTCCTAACTACATTACTTCTTCATACTCTTCTTCTTGAAGACTGTTCTCAAAAGGGAGCGGAGTTCCCTACTTTTGCTTTCACAGTGCTTCATTTATATCTCTGCAGTGGCAGTCATGTTTAAGCATGATTTTAAACTTGACTTGGAGGGATTTTTTTTTTACTCTTAAATAGATCAGTTTACTAAAATGTGAGAACAGACATGCTCTATGGAGTGTAGAACAATGTCTGACATTTTGAAGACGTTTCACAAGTAACTCGATAAGGGGTTACCTTGGCTTGATACTAGTGGTGTTGCGACTAAGCCCTCATACAGGCTTATCAGATGCATTAATATGGACCTATTCTATAAGATGCTGAGTAGGCACTCTGAACATTGTATGCTACAAAGTGTTAAAAATAATAAAGAGAAACTCTCTAGTCAAGCACTGCTAATGAATTGACCACACCTTAAGAACACTTACCATATTACTCAGGTAGTTAAAAATAAGATTCAGCCACAGAAGAAGAGATTAATCTATCACACACTTAATCAGTTGTAAACTCTCATTAAAAATGCTATGATAATAAAGCATATTTCCTCCACAGGACTACTATAGCTTTAGTATATTGTGACCACTATATTTGGGACTAGAACAAAAGGAATGTCATTTGGTCCCCAAGTCTTACCTATGAATGTACTGTTCTTATGCAACACAGTCTTTCAGCTCAGTGGTGGTACTGATGCTAGTATCGCTATGTATCATTTCAGGGAATTTTTGATGCCACTGGCATCAAAGTTGGCAAGCAGAGTTGCTGTGGAGATAAAAGCTGGAAAACCAGTGGTTCCTTTTAATGCAGTGAGAACTGCATATTTACTTTTTTGATGACCTTACCAGTTAAAAATTGAATGTCTCTTATTTCTATTTTTTCTCCTGAACTTCCTTTAGAAACAAAGAAAGCTCTCTTTACTTATAGAAATAACTTTTTCTACAGAATTAAATATCATTTATTTTTCAGTTCCTTTATACAGGCCTCTTGAGAATAGCTGTTTATAACAATGAAATAGAACTAACTACCTAATCAGCAGATGTCACTCCTTAACTGATCTTTCTCAACTGTACTTCCCTGCTGATTTCAGTTGTCATTTCTTTTTCCTGTAAATTTCAACTGCCTTTTCTGCATTACCAATTTCATTTCTAATTTTTAACCTCTGGTTAGTCTCCACGAACAACTAGGACTACTATTTTTTGCTTTGCTATCTAAGGACCATAATATAACATATTCTTTATCTTTGAATGCAAATATCTGTGTGGTTTACAATAGCCACATAGAATATTTTTCTACTCTGTATCTGTGCTTTGCAGCAGAGATACACCTGTTCTTACTTTTTTTTTCTCCCTCAAATGAAAGGTTCCAGTTTTAGTTCACAAGACCAGCAGTAGCTAAAACTTGCCATTCTTTCAACACCATTGAACAAATATTTGTTATCTAGCATGTATTAAGCACTGTTATGAAGATTTAGAAGTTATAAAACTAATAAAAAGTCTTGCTTTCATGACTCTTGTTTCTAGACAGAACAAAAAATCATTTTATCCATCTATCTAGTTTAGATGGTAATAGGTGCTCTGGAAAAAAAAAAAGAGTATAAGGGAAGCTTAGGGGGTACTTGCAGTTTTAAGAAGGATCTTCATGAAGGTGATGACATTTGAGAAAAGGCCTTGTGGAAATAAGGCAAGAACCTTTCAGGCAGAGGAAACACATAGTACAAAGGCGCACGTAGGCTGTCACAAGCAGTAAGGAGTTTTACTTAAAGCATCTGTTAGGGACAAAAATACAGTCAAGGCTTTGTTGTTGCTATTAGGAATCCACCCACAAGAGAATTTAATCAGCTTAAGATGAACATCAGTACAGATCTGTTCAGTGTTCTCTCAGGGCCATGACCTCATTGCTAACACTGACAACCTAGACTACTTTTTTGATTCAGTTTGGCTTTTGATGCTGAATTAGTCCATTTTTTCTTGCTAACATAAAATACCAAAGGCAGGCTATTTCATGAAGGAAAGAGGTTTATTTTGATTCATGGTTTTGGTGGTGCAAGTTCTAAGGGTCTCTTTGAGTGATGTTGTTCTTGGTGGCAGTCCTTAGGTGACACAGAGCATCACATGGCAAGAGACAGGGAGCATGTGTGTAAGTATGCCTTGTCTTTCTCCTTATCAGCCTACCAGGATTCAATCATGGGGGCTCTACCCTAATGACTTTAATACTAATCACTTCCCAAATATCTCACCTCTAAACCCCACAGTCAGATTAAGTTTCTGCCCTCTTAATATCTCAGAGTGAGGATAAAACTCAGCATGTATTCTGGGGCAAAAACCATGTTGAAAGTATAGCAGATGCTCAGCTGGAAAACCCAGATGAAATTAAAGGACAAGGTAGGCTTGATTGATTCTTCATTTTGTTCTCTCACCACGTGGAACTGCATATTAATCATATGTAGTCAGTGACTCCAAGTATTAAATTAACCTCAAATATGGTCCATTACCATTTTTGAACTAAAAGGTAAGTATAACAGAATTCTACCTGAGATCAGCTAATGGTAGATTCTTGTCCCATAGACAGCCAAGGCATGAAGCTGCTGGGAACAGAGGTATTTCTTGTAGCATTCTGGAAAACACACTGTGCTTTCAATTTTATCTTCTTTTAGTTAGGGCAACATAGTAAAGGTGCCACGACCAACATTAAGTCCTATGTAGAATTTTCAGAGATTGTTACACTTAACGTTCAACAAACCTGTACTGGGCCTATTTATTCCAAAGCTAGCATAGTAGCTTAACAAAGATTCCAAGCCCAGCAATCCATACCTCATTTCAGGAGGTTCCATTTCTCTGAGGAGAACATTTTCTTAAAGCTCCTACATACCCTTGAAGCCCACTAGAATCCTCAATAAGAATAAAGTAGTAAGAGCTCAACAAAAAGACATTTCAAAGCAGGTATAGAGTTTATTTTAGTCCATCTTTGATTTGTTTGAATCCTGAATCCCTTGGATATGAAGATCACTACTTATTTCATGGAATTAGTAGTTTTAAAGACAAACAAAATATCTTTAGCAAAGAGAAGGTGATTGAATTTCCAAATAAGTCATTACAAATAAGACTTAACAGGAACTGAAAATATTAGCATCATACTAATTCTCTCCATGATCACCTTAAGTTTGCTTTTAGATTTAAATTGGTTATGATAGATTTGAACAAACCAGAAAGCCTTAAAATATGGCCAGGTATCTTGTTTTAGATCCAAATCAAGTATTGATCACTGTGACTATGGTGTAGCACCAATTTAGAATTATTGTAATCTAATGTGTTCAGATTGTTCCATACTTAGGAGTGGTCAGAGATGACATTCTGAAATGAAACCATGCTGTAATCAAATCAACTTAGACATTTACCCACATTTTTTAACTTTACATATTTTTTATCTGTCAAATTTTGTTCTTGCTATTCTGAAAATGTCACCAGAAAGAAAAGCAATTTATTGTTCTTTTTACTCACAGAAAGAATTGATTTCTTAAGAATCATCGATGTTTAAATTGAAAACTAATACAATAGATCAATTACATAAAATTTGAACAAGTAGAATCATTTGGAAAACAAAAAAGAACTGTCTTCACTTTTAATTTTTTTAACTAATGGGAACTTATCTCACAGATAATATTTGTGGACTACTACAAATACTCTATTGATCATGAGCTCACAGCTCTAAGCTATGAGGCACTAGAGCAGAGGGCTTACTCAGATTCTTGGGCCAATCCTTCTGGTTTAGATTCTTAGCTCCTCCTTTACTAGCTTAGTAATCTCAGTGTTAGCTTGTTTGTGCCTCAGCTGGCAACACAGTGGGTATTAATAGTAGATATACCTTGTGGCTTATATGAGGAATGAATGAGTTGACACATATAGGCACATTGTTAATGTTCAATAAATGTTAGCTATGCTTTTAATATGTGACACAGTGAGGAACTATCACTAGCCTAATGGAATAAAGTGCTAGATACATTTCTTGTATTTTTATTGGATTTCATCAATTTTTTAAATAAAAGCTAGTATGCTTTGTGGTATGAGCACACAAGGAAGCAGAGAGGGATGACTTCTCTAAGTGAAACTGACCCCCTGCATATAGTGCCTGAAAACAGAGGAAGCTTGTCAGTATAAGCAGACACCAGTAGACCAATCTGACATCCCACTTCTCCTTTTAACCTGGTGGAAATTAATGGATGGTATCAAATGTGGACTCTTACTTGTTCTTGATTACAGATTAAACCTTGTTTTACTGTAGGGGTAAATTCAGGGTGACGTTAGTTTTTTAAAATCTTTATACTTCCTCAGTTTCATTGCAGAATAAAAAAAATAATTTACCACAATGGATTGTTACGTTATGTCGGGTATTTATTCCTCTCAGGAGGCCATCTGCTTCGGGAAAGGCAGTAAGGTGCTCTCCATTAATATATCTGATGGTGTAATGACGTAAAACTTCTTGTTGACCTCTGCCATTCGGAGTTATTGTCTTGGAACATAGAATTTGATTATCTCTTTTCACTGCATAACTACAAATGTTAGGATAGGCTGTAAAAGTAAGTGCCCTTTGTTTAATTCAGGTTCCAGACATTTCTTCTAATCACATGAAGTTTTTTTGATTATAAGGCTACTAAGCCATGAAAGCTCAGATTACTGAAATTAGAGGGGGAGGAATGGATTCTTTTGGTTCTAACTCTAAACATCCCACCGGATGCAGGTGTACGTGCAAAGTAAGTTTGCCTTAAGAATCCTCTGTCTCCAGTTGTACAGACTGCCCAAGAGGGTGGAGCCCTTGCAACCTGCTTACCCGGGCATGTGAGTGTCGGTGGGTGTCGGAGCACGCGCAGGGCACACATGGACCTACTTTCCGAGTCTCGCTCTCACCTCAAAGGCTGTCAACTCTAAGGTCCCTCCCTGCGTGCACGCCCCCTCCTCAGTCCTCCGCTCCTTCACGCCCCTCCCCCAAAGCGGGGTACATCAAGGTCATTGGCTAAAGTTCCTCTCACTCCTATTCCAGAACCAATCACTCGAGCTGGGGTGGAGAGCAGAGGAGCCAATGGGAGTGTTCCTTGCGGCAGCTGCCGGGTCCTGACCGCCGGGAGGCGGTGCCGGGGGCGGGGTGCGGGTGGAGGATTAGTTGCCATTCCCAGTGAGAAGCGGGTAGAGGCGGCGGCGACGGCGTTTGCGGTGGCGCGGGCTCCGCGGAGCGCAAGGCACCTTGAGGCCCTTTTCCCCTACCCCCGTCCCTAGAAGCAGGAACCGCGGCCCTCCCTGCAGCTGCTGAGTTCTCCTGCGCTTGCAGTCCCCAAGGGCTGAGGAGAAGGCTGCGAGCGGCCCCGGGGCTGCGTGATCCGGGCGAGTGCCCTGTCAGCGCGATGCCCGGGGAGGTGGCGGCGTCTCCGGGCTCCTCGCGGCCCCGGCCGTGACCGCCACGCCGATCCCAGCCAGGCGGTTGGGGCCGTTGGACGTTTGTTTTCGCAGCCTTCCCCTCCCCCCTCGCTGAGGCGGCGGGGGTGCGCGTTGGGAAGGGGGAGCCCAGAGACTCCTCCCCCTCCTCATACCCCCGCCCCTCCCCCTTACACACTCGCACGCACTATCGCGCCGGCTCCCACACGCTCGCGCGCCTCAGTGTCGGCCGGCGTCGTCCAGGGCCCGCGGAGCCACCATGTCCACTGCCTCCTCCTCCTCCTCTAG